ACTGAGACCTGGAGAGGCCTATAAGCCACAGTGTCTCGCACCCACTATGACATTTGGTGGAGGATTGGTGATGATCCATGTAGGGCCCCGTGTAGCTCAGTTTGTAGAGCATGGCGTTTGCAACACCAGGGTTGTGGGTTCAATTCCCACGGGGGGCCAGTATGAAAAAACAAACAAACATGTATGCACTCACTAACTGTAAGTCGCTCTAGATAAGAGCGTCTGCTAAATGACTAAAATGTTTTAAAAAATGATCTGGGGGTGCTTCAGCAAGGCTGGAATCGGGCAGATTTGTCTTTGTGAAGGACGCATGAATCAAACCATGTACAAGGTTGTCCTGGAAGAAAATGTGCTTCCTTTTGCTCTGACACTGTTCCCCAACTCTGAGGATTGGTTTTTCCAGCAGGACAATGCGCCATACCACACAGCCAGGTCAATCAAGGTGTGGATGGAGGACCACCAGATCAAGACCATGTCATGGCCAGCCCAATCTCCAGACCTGAACCCCATTGAAAACTTCTGGAATGTGATCAAGAGGAAAATGGATGGTCACAAGCCATCAAACAAGGCCGAGCTGCTTGAATTTTTGCGCCAGGAGTGGCATAAAGTCACCCAACATCAATGTGAAAGACTGGTGGAGAGCATGCCATGACGCATGAAAGCTGTGATTGAAAATCAGGTTTATTCCACCAAATATTGATTTCTGAACTCTTCCTAAGTTAAAACATTACTATTGTGTTGTTTAAAAATGAACATGAACTTATTTTCTTTGCATTATTCGAGGTCTGACAACATTGCATCTTTTTTGTTATTTTGACCAGTTGTCATTTTCTGCAAATAAATGCTCTAAATTACAATATTTTTATTTGGAATTTGGGAGAAATGTTGTCAGTAGTTTATAGAATAAAACAAAAATGTTATTTTTACCCAAACACATACCTATAAATAGTAAAACCAGAGAAACTGATCATTTTGCAGTGGTCTCTTTATTATTTCCGCAGCTGTATATAGGCCATATCTCAATCGATAAAAATAAAGAATTCTGGTGCTGTGATGAGGTGTGAAGGAAGGAGTCAGGCGCAGGAGGTAAAACACCGAAGTCCAGAGTTTATTCCGTTTGCATAAATAAAACGCACCCAGCGTCAGTACGAAACTATCAGAAGGGAAATATTACACCTTGGCAATAACGTATGGAAGAGTAGCTCAACCGAGCTACTCACTCTCACAATGAAACAATCACTCACAAAGACAAGGGGAACAGAGGGAACACTTATACACATACTAATTAGGGGAATGAGCACCATGTGTGTGTGATTGACAAGACAAGACATGACAAGTGGAGTGATGAGAATGGGATCGGCAGTAGCTAGTAAGCCGGTGACGACGAACACCGAAACCTGCCCGAACAAGGAGGGGAGGCAGCCTCGGCGGAAGTCGTAACAGTACCCCCCCCTTGACGCGCGGCTCCAGCAGTGCGCCGACCCCGGCCTCGGGATGGCCAGGAGACGCGGAGCAGGGCAAGTCGGATGGCGACGGTGGAAATCCCTCACAGGGAGGGATCAGGATGTCCCTCCTTGGGACCCAGCACCGTTCCTCCGGACCGTACCCCTCCCACTCCACTGACGACGCACAGCGTGCTGGAGGCAAACGTAGGCAGCGTCCCAAGTCGACTCCGCACGCGGAAACCAGTCATCCACCGCAGGAGCCTCGGTCTGGCTCTGGTGCCACGGTGCCAGGACCGGTTGGAACCCAAAACACATTGGAAGGGTGTTAGGTTAGTGGAGGAGTGCGGAAAGAGTTCACCCACATCTTGATTCACCCTTTCCACCTGCCCATTACTCTCGGGGTGAAATCCAGAGGTCAGGCTGACCGAGACCCCCAGATGTTCCATGAACGCCTTCCAGACTCTAGACGTGAACTGGGGACCTCGGTCGGACACTATATCCTCTGGTACCCCATAGTGCCGGAAGATGTGAGTAAACAGAGCCTCTGCAGTTTGTAGGGCCGTGGGGAGACCGGGCAGAGGAAGGAGGCGGCAGGACTTCGAAAAGCGATCCACAACGACCAGGATAGTGGTGTTACCTTGGGAGAGGGGAAGATCAGTAAGAAAATCAATACTAAGGTGAGACCATGGTCGTTGTAGAACTGGTAAAGGTTGTAGCTTACCCGCTGGGAGGTGCCTAGGTGCATACACCCTCACGTCCAAGGTAGGCCACCAGTACTTCTCGGTCAGGCAGGGCATTGTACGACCGATACCTGGATGACCAGAGGAGGGTGTCGTGTGTGCCCAGTAGATCAGACTATCACAGATAAGAGCAGGCACGTACTGCAGCCCAGCTGGACACTGCGGTGGAGATGGATCTGTGCGTAATGCCTGTGCTATGTCCGCGTCCATCGCCCATACTACCGGCGCCACAATGCATGAGGCCGGGAGTATGGGGGTGTTGTTTCTGGGCCTCTCCTCTGTGTCATACAGCCGAGACAGTGCGTCTGCCTTCACGTTCTTCGTACCCAGAATGTCTCTCGACCGGTGGCTCCCCCCTGCTCCATCTGCTCGGTGTCAGAGTCGTCCGGAGTGGGAACGGGCAGACCCCTACCAGGACGTTCTCTGGCTGCTAGCAGATTGTCCAGCCGGATGGCCATGTCCACCAGTTGAGAGCGCAATAGCATGGCATCACGGCAGGCTAGCTCCTGTCGTACGTCCTCCCTTAGGTGGCACCGGAAATGGTAGATCAGGGCCCGCTCGTTCCACCCGGACCCCGCTGCCAGCATCCGGAACTCCAGCGCGTAATCCTGTGCGGTCCTCGTCCCCTGCCTCAGATGGACCAGTCGTTCGCCCGCCAAGACAAGACATGACAAGTGGAGTGATGAGAATGGGATCTGCAGTAGCTAGTAAGCCGGTGACGACGAACGCCGAAACCTGCCCGAACAAGGAGGGGAGGCAGCTTCGGCGGAAGTCTTGACAGGTGCTCCTAAATTTTATGTTGTGCTCCTAACTTTTATAAGTTGGGACACCAGTGCTATGAATGAAAAAGTTTGATTTAGAGCCCTGCAAGCACGTCATGCATTACAAGGATATCTTAGATTTTTTACAGACAACACGATATCAGGGGCTTTCGAATGTTAGTTGGCTTTCAAAGATAGTTGCCATTGTATGGACAATCGATGTTAAGAAGGCGATAGCACTTTGGGCCTCTTTGTCTCTGTGTGTGTGAAATGCAGTGATTCCCACTCATCAGATTACAACACAGGATGACCTTGACCGAAGGGAAACTCTGACCCATGCGCTAATTGCAAATAACAGGCTCTGCCCAGACTCCTTTCATCCTGTGGCTTATTCTCCTGAAAAACACAGGCCTTTAATTTGTTATTAGCTGAAGTATTGCCGTGGCCAAGGCCCGTGTGAGTGAGGCAGGCATTAGACCTTCTTCACAACCGAGGCGGGAGTCTTTGAAAGTCCCTACTCATTGACCTTGCAGCAGAGTATGCCTAATTAAACCGGCGATGAAATTACAGTGACTATTCACCAGGCCCACATAGGCTGAAAGATAGAGATAAGAGTAAGGGACCCATATTGCATCTCATCTTCCTTCCTGAATCCTCTCTGTTACTTTCTTTGTTTGTGTGCTCAGGGTTGTCATTGTAAATGAGAAACATGTAAATGTATTACAAACCAAATCAATGTGTACGTTTATACAGATTCATCTCTTAACATTGGATGAAGGAGTAGGAAATATTTGTCCTTCACAACAAAGGAGAAGTTTATTTCTTTGAATATAATCAGTTTTGAAAAATAACAATCTTATTTGTATTCAATAAAGGGCTGTTAGCGTTTTAGCTCTGGTTCTTGTGGTGGAGCTAGAGATGTTGTTGTGACATCCCTGACGCAAGAGAGAGAGGCTGTAGAGGCTCTTGAAAATATGAACTGTCAAAGAGAAGAGAGGTGCCGCCATCCTGATCATCATGTCCAAGTGCACCAGGAAGAGCTTGAGTGTAAACCTCTCACTCACTCAGTCACTCAGTCACTCAGTCATTCAGTCACTCACGCACTCACGCACTCTCTCACTCTCTCTCTCTTTCTTTCTTTCTCTCTCTCTCTTTCTATCACAAACACTCACAACATCTTATTCTCCTTCACTGTCACACAAGAGAGCAAACAGAATTTCCATTCACGTCTTGCCACACAGCCTTCACCACTGTAACAAACGGGAGCATGCAGCTAGCATGCACACTCAAAGAGGCCCTTTGAGTATTCAAGGGCCAACAGTTGCATTCATTGATATTTAAAATGCAGTGGTTTGTGAGAGCTCTCCCTGCTCCGTGGTACATTTGACTGTATTTAAAAAGAGAAATATCAGGAATAAGGATCAGGACATTTTTGATTGTCAGTGTTGAAGAGGAGATCAGATTGGAGTTGGTGTTTGTTCCCCTCTCGGGATATGAAAGCATGTACACACTGTCAGTCTCCCAATGACCTGCCGATAACAACTAATATTGTACATGTACTTAAAGTTTGTCCGTGTCTAAAATCCTCCTGATCATCCCCTTCATATTAGTGCTCATTAAAAGTTGTGAACAGCCATCTGAGCTGAGAGGCAGCCTTTGAAGACAAGAGAGGGCCTAACTCTCAGATGATGATGGCTGGTTTGATACGGTGAAAGGAATCCGTATGTCATCACACAGTATCCTCGTCTCCCAGGAGATAAATAAGTGGAGAGGAAGGAAGAGAGCAGTTTGTCTCTATCCTCTCTGCCAAGTGGAGATATCTTAACGTGTTTCACATTAATGTGAGGATGATTGCATTCCTTAGGTGCTTGTCTAATCTCATGGGAGGGGGAGAGGGAGAAAGAGGGAGAGAGAGGGAGAGAGAGAGATGTGCAGTGCTCTGTACCACAGCCAGGCCTGGTAGATTACTTGTTTAATTGGTAGGAGTTCAATTTGACGCTCCCTTCACAATGTGGGAGTAATTAGAATGTGTTTTTAATTTGCCATGGTTGCAGGCCAAAGTGCTGCTGAGGACACTTTTGTCCCGGTCCAGCGAGGAGTGCCCCACGGTGGAAGTGGACAGTGAGTCGTCTTCCTGTGGCCTTCCCTAATTCCTCTACGACAGTGCTGCGGAGGTCCGACCAGTCAGACCTGCTCAGGAGCACCACGCCGCAGGGATGCAAGGTCATTATCGCTCTCTCACCATGTCGTCTGGCCACTACAGTAGCTAATGTGCTAGTGCAAGTAGTGATGCATCACTTTCCGGGTTATGATAGTGAACTGTGTAACCAGCCTCAAGACTAAAATTAATGAGGGAAGTTGGGAGTATGACCATGTCCAATGATGCCTGTGTTTTTAGACTATAACTATTTCAATCAGAAGTAATTTGCAGATATTGCAAGTTTAGTTTTCACAACATCTCAAACTGAAAAAAGTCAGTAATTGCCCAGCGAGACAGAGAGAGGTTTTGGATGTGGGCAATGGTAGAATGGTACCATTTCTGTTAAGTATGAACAATCGCTGCACTGAAATGAAACTTCCCCCATATGACAAAGAATCACAACACTTTTAACGTAGGCCTCTTTTTGAATCCCTGGCAGCCTGTCTTCATAGGGCTCTCTATTCAGACAAAGGGAAAACCAGAGTCCCAGCCTCCCCCTGTCTCTGAGCTCTGTGTGGGCCTCCCTTTCTGACAGGACTACAAAGTGGTGAAGAGGACAGCCAGGACGAGAGCCCCGTGGAAAGTATTCCTATTAGAGGTAAAAAGGCAGCGCCGAGCCCTGCATTCAGAGTTCTTGTGTGGTGTTTGTTTTCCTCCCACAGCCACTGATAATGGGCTCTTTTAAATGGATGGCTGTGGCAGGATGATCAAGGTAAATCTGGGGTCAAAGTCCTACCTGAAGAGCTGTGCAGTTCCTCTAATTATCTTGGAGAAACAGTGCATGCTTTCAGCTGGCCAGAGCAGAGGCGTGGCCATATTGATAATTCGCACCCGCATAATGCACCCGTATAATGCAACGGTTTAATTGTCAGGACACCGGGGTGTAGCTAGAGATCGGTCATTGGTTCTCATTATCTTCTAAACAATGCTTTGCAGCAGCATACCTGAAAAGACGAGATGTGAAGGCATGCTGGGTTCCAGTCCACACCAGAATCTCAGAAATGTAAAACAATCTATTGTTTCACTTGGCTATCATAGATTTCATACTGAGCGTTTCATTTGTGAGCATCTACAATGGCGCAAGACCACAGGACCAGTCCAGTTTCAAATCGCAACTAATCAAAAGCTAAATATTTTTTGAAAAGAGACATTTACAGTCCAGTTTCATGGCTGGAGCCACTGCTGGGCAACAGTAAGTGATGTCTATCTGTTACCACACACTGGCAACACAAGCTGAAGGTAATGAGTTAAGAATGTGTAGCTGTATATGCTTAAAGTGACATGCATTTGTTAGTCCTCGCAAACAATTCTACAGACAGAACAACTACAATGGACAGATACTTATATATACAGTGCATTCTGAAAGTATTCAGAACCCTTGACCTTTTCCACATTTTGTTACGTTACAGCCTTATTCTAAAATGCATTAAAAAAAAAAAGAATCTTAATCAATCTACGAACAATACCCCATAATGACAAAGCGAAAACAGGTTTTTAGATTTTTCTTTGCAAATGTATTAAAAATAAAATACAGAAATATATTATTAACATAAGTATTCAGACCCTTTGCTATGAGACTCGAAATTGAGCTCAGATGCATCCTGTTTCCATTGATCATCCTTGAGATGTTTCTACCACTTGATTGGAGTCCACCTGTGGTAAATTCAATTGATTGGACATGATTTGGAAAGGCACACACCTGTCTATATAAGGTCCCACAGTTGACAGTGCATGTCAGAGCAAAAACCAAGCCTTGAGGTCGAATGAATTGTCCATAGAGCTCCGAGAGGATTGTGTCGAGGTACAGATCTGGGGAAGGGTATCAAAAAATGTCTGCATCATTGAAGGTTCCCAAGAACACAGTGGCCTCCATCATTCTTAAATGGAAGAACTTTTGAACCACCAAGACTCTTGCTAGAGCTGGCCACCCAGCCAAACTGAGCAATCGGGGGAGAAAGGCCTTCTTAGGGAGGTGACCAAGAACCCGATGGTGACTCTGACGGAGCTCCAGAGTTCCTCTGTAGAGATGGGAGAACCTTCCAGAAAGACAACCATTTATGGTAGAGTGGCCAGACGGAAGCCAGTCCTCGGTAAAAGGCACATGACAGCCCGCTTGGAGTTTGCCAAAAGTCACCTAAAGGACTCTCAGACCATGAGAAACAAGATTCTCTGGTCTGATGAAATCGAGATTGAACTCTTTGGCTTGAATGCCAAGCGTCACATCTGGAGTAACCCTGGCACCATCCCTACAGTGAAGCATGGTGGTGGCAGCATCATGCTGTGGGGATGTTTTTCAGCGGCAGGGACTGGGAGACTAGTCAGGATCGAGGGAAAGCTGAACGGAGCAAAGTACATAGAGATCCTTGATGAAAACCTGCTCCAGAGCGCTCAGGACGTCAGACTGGGGCGAAGGTTCACCATCCAACAGGACAACGACCCTAAGTACACAGCCAAGACAATGCAGTAGTGGCTTCGGGACAAGTCTCTGAATGTCCTTGAGTGGCCCAGACAGAGCCTGGACTTCAACTCGATCGAACATCTCTGGAGAGACCTGAAAATAGCTGTGCAGCGATGCTCCCCATCCAACCTGACAGAGCATGAGAGGATATGCAGAGAAGAATGGGAGAAACTCCAAGCTTGTAGCGTCATACCCAAGAATACTTGAGGCTGTAATCGCTGCCAAAGGTGCTTCAACAAAGTACTGAGTAAAGGGTCTGAATACTTATGTAAATGGGATATTTCAGTTTTTTATTTGTAATACATTTGCAAAAATGTCTAAAAACCTGTTTTTGCTTTGTCATTATGGGGTATTATGTGTAGATTGATGGGGAAAAAAGCAGATTTAATCAATTTTAGAATAAGGCTGTAACGTAACAACATGTGGAAAAAGTCAAGGGGTCTGAATACTTTCCGAATGCACTGTATTTGTCATATAAATGTTACATTGTTTCATCATTTCTGTAAGGCCAAACATACATTTGTTGCCCACAGAGTTCAAAGTATTCGTGCCCACAAATAGCGCGCTTGGATGCGAAAACTGAACCCCTAGCCTGAAACTTGGATTTAAACAACTATATTGCTATTATGTTGATTTACCATGGTGTGTTAGTGTGTCATCATCTTTAGACAAATTTACAGCCTTTCAGCTTCTCTATTGATTTTGAAGCCTGTGTAGTTGTCAAATATGATACCTAATCCACTGTATATGGAAGTAGTTAGTGTTTTATTTAAAGAAAATCCGTCAATCTCTTCTGAGTAGGGAGGCCTGCCTAATACAAAGATAATGTGGAGAGTGATTATGGTGTCGTGGAAACTGTTTCTCCTCTTGGCGTTAAATACACAGTTTAGCCTGCCCTGCTCTGTTTTTACCCACTCTGTTCATCAGAAGGCCCAAAGAGCCAGCCATCGGAGCGTGTTGTCTCATCAAACTCACAGCCTCTGAAAGTTCGAAACCTGGGTCTTGAGTCAATATTTAACTGGGGCATTTTGTGTTTTTTGAACAGAAACAAAAGCATATCAGCTGCTTAAACAGTCTGCCACGCAGGAGAGGCAGCAGAGCTCTGGAGACGAGGAGGAGGAGGATCTGTCAGGTAAGGCGAGACATCACCCGCACCACCACACACCACCCCTCCAGCCAGCCACTGTGGCCTAATCATCGGTCAACACTGACCATATGTCTCACCGTCCCATAAAGAATTGGTATGAGTGTTGTATAAAGAATATACCCACCATGTGTCCAGATTTCTTTGAGTCAGTCAAGGGACACAGCTTTCATCTGTGCTTTTCCTCTTCAACCATTTACATGTATGTGAATACACAACATCGCTTATCATGTAATAGATTTATTGATTGATTGATTTTATTTGCCAGTTAATAAAACACATAAACACACAGTACATACATTTAAAAAACGTGACAGGGATATGACAAAATAGTCAGACACTTATTTCCATTGTGGGTCCCTAAATTCCATGGTGCAAAAACATTACAACATTAAACTACATAGATACTGATACATTACATACATACTTTTTTAATTTTCTTCTATTGCTCCATAGATACTGATACATTACATACAGCCATGAAAAGTTGTTCTATTGCTCCATAGATACCGATACATTACATACAGACATGATCATTGCCAGGTTTTGACATTCTTTTTAAATGTAGTTATGAAAATAGATGCACAAATCAAAATGTTTGATATGTCTTGTTTGCTCTTTAAGGAATAAATTATGGCTATGAAGTGGATACCGGGAGAGTTGAGCGCTCCTCTCATCAAGACCCTTACCCTTGGTAAGAACATTATTATTATTCACTCCCTTTATGGGAAATAGGCCACCAGACAGCAAAGTGGATGATGTACATTTGCATGTGGCTCTCATAATTCCCTGTTAATTTCCATTAGATCAACGGTGTGCCACCCATTAACTTGTGCATGAAAACAAAAGGTCAGACTGTTATCAAGCCTAAAGCTTGCTCTCACTATTTATAGGGTTCATGTTTCAGGAGGCTAGCTATAAAAGCAGTCCGTTGTGGTACTACGTATACAAATATAAAATCAAGTATATAATTAGTCGACTGTTTTTAAAGGAAGACTCAGAAGGATGAGTTTTAAGATGACACATCCTTTTAATTTCCAGAGCTTCCACACATCCTGAATTTCATTTAGGGCTGCTCAAATCAAAGCGCTGAGTGGTAGGAAAATAACATCTGAATATCAACATGACTTCATCCAAATCTGCAATTGTGCAGTCCCCAGAGCGCCTCTTCACCGGGAGCCGATTTGGGAAGGTAATGGCTGGGTAAACGTTATGAGGAATAATCTTCTCTGATTTCATGTGATTACTGGGCACCACGCTGACACAAGGGCTCAACATGTGCGTCTCCCTGGCCAGCCAGTGGGCTCTCCCAGTCTACCTATTAGCAGAGGAAAATACATAATGGCCCATCTCTATTGAGGCGTTACTGTCTGCCAGTGCCAGCCCAATGACTGAACCTCTTTAATAAACATGAGCCAATTTCAGACTCCAGACCCTCTCAGATGGCTCAGTCTCCACCGTCATTAAGGCGCATGGGAAGCCCAAATCTAAGGCGATAAAACAAGCGTAAATGTAGAGGAAATAACAAGAATCACAACTCTGATTGGCCACTGTGGTCATGGTGGTCCTGTGCATAAATGATTGAAATGGGACTAATGAGTAGTTTTGCATGCTTGACATCTAATCTGGTCAGGGAAAGAGTGAGCTGTTGTGGAGCGACTACTGAGAGCGGTCACCATCGTACCTCTTTCCTGCTCCTCTGTGATGTGTCCCCCCAGATGCTTACGTTTTAAGCATTCCACTTACCACTGTCACTTCTTGGGCTTTATTGCTTCAACAAGTGGTCTCGAAACCCAGCACTTGAACAAAAACATAACACTGCAGCATGCTCTGCTCTGCCCTTCTCTTTCTCTTTCTCTGGTTCTATCTCAATGTCTCTCTCCCCATCTATTTCCCCCTTTCTCTATTCCTCTCTGTCACTCCTTCTCTCTCCCTCTCCTTATGTATTTTCCTTTCTTCCCCTCTTCTTCTCCCTTTTTCATTATTTGCTTTATTTTGTCAGTGAGCCGACGAGTGCCATCAAAATACTCTGTGGCTGAAAAAATAAAATAAAAGGCCTCCTCTCTGTTGTCTTAGACAATAATTATGAATTGCCAGTTAAGCCTAGACTACAGCTGAGGGATTGTAGTTTAAAGCAGAGGCTTTGGTGCAAAAAATGCATTTATAGCCCTTTGTGTGGCTCCTCATTATGTGTGGGCCCGATTCATTAAGTAATTGGTTTGCAGTTGTTTACATGAGTATTAAGGCTCTCTATTCAGGAGCCTTTGAGAGATACATTGTGCAAATGTTGCATGTTATGAATGCAGAATGAGAGGCAGGGGGCAAGTCCTATTGGCCAAGCACTACACTCGGCTGAAAAGCAAGAGAAAAGCGCTGGGTGCTTCTTTGCATAGCAATGACTCTGCCTTAATACGCTTTAAAGATTAAATATATGCAGTCTATACAAGATACAAAGAGATACTCTTAACACATTTATATGTGCTCATTTCACTATTATGGCATTGGAGAGAATTGAGGTCTTTCATATTCCATTTTGTTTCTGTCTCCTCCACACAATGTTTTTCAGCAAGACACTTTATAGAATGTGCTGTTTATTGTATTGTGAATCACGGCCAAGCGGACAGATCTGCAACAGTTTTGTAAGGATTCATCCATTAGAAATCTTTTGCTGCCATTGTGAGTGGTAAAGCAAAATCACTTTGTGGTTGAGTGGGGATGAAAGGAATAATGCAGGAAGGAGTGAGTCTTAATAAGCAGCTGCACTCCATGTAAAGACCACTTGTTCCCCTTTGTCTGGGGGTGCATGCCACTGCTTCCTCTTGTACAAGAATCATTGTGCTGTTTTTCTTCTTTTACTGTAGGCATTTCAGATGGTTTTCCTTTCTAGTTATTTTTTTCTTCTTCTGTTTTTTCATCTCTTTTTTTGGCCTGGCCTTGATTTAAGAACAAAATGTCTCACTAAAAAAGCAAAAGAAAACGTAGGCTATCTCTCTCTCTCCAGTCATCAGAGTCTGCTATGTTTGTGATGCCGCGTCCCTGCTTGACAAAAACCTTCACTTGACAATTAGTGTGTGGAGCGTTCCCTTGGACAACAGCATGTGCTCAGGTATTCACACCCCAATCACTCAGACAGAGCCAAAGTGTCATAATCAGAAGTTAGCCCTCTGTGGAAGAGAGGCAGGAGGAAGCGATGTATGTGGCATCTCTCGCAGAACACAGGGAGGGAGTGAAACAGAGAGATGGCCCCAGAAAGAGGCAGGTAAAGAGACCGATGAACATGCAGACAAACTAACAGACCCAGATTAGACAGAAATGTGGTCAAGGACTTTCGGCAGAGAAAGACCGACAGAGACAAACTGTGCTTTATTTCAGTGCGAATTCCTGGCAAAGGTATACAAATACTCAGTCTGAAAACAAAAGCTTGTTCCTACCCCTAGACACTTCTTACTGGCCCTTCATTTGTAGATCTGAAAGCATCGACATTGTGTAAGCAATATGGGTGTAACTCCATATACTGTAGCTGTTGCAATGGTCTATGATTTGATTTGGGACTGGGGAAGAGAAACAGGCAGTGATAGACAGAGAACGACAGAAAGGCAGGCAGCATTGAGAGGCTACTGCCAGAGGAGGTCACTCTCCTACATTGGGTTCCTCTTCTCCTCCCACAGTCATTCACACCAAACCTAACACACACCATGTCTAACACACACCATACCTAACACACACCATGCCTAACACACACCATGCCTAACACACACCAAACCTAACACACACCATACCTAACACACACCAAACCTAACACACACCATGCCTAACACACACCATGCCTAACACACACCATGCCTGACACACACCATACCTAACACACACCATACTTAACACACACCATGCCTAACACACACCATACCTAACACACACCATACCTAACACACACCATGCCTAACACACACCATACCTAACACACACCATACTTACCACTACAACACACACCATACCTAAACACACCATACTTAACAACACACCATGCCTAACGCACACCATAACCTAACACACACCATAACTAACACCACATACCTACCACACACCAGCCTAACGCACACCATACCTAACACACACCATACCTAACACACACATACCTAACACACACCATGCCTGACACACACCATACCTAACGCACACCATAGCTAACACACACCATACCTAACACACACCATACCTAACACACACCATGCCTAACACACACCATGCCTGACACACACCATACTTAACACACACCATACCTAACACACATCATACTTAACACACACCATGCCTAACACACACCATACCTAATGCACACCAAACCTAACACACACCATACCTAACACACACCATACTTAACACACACCATGCCTAACGCACCACCATACCTAACACACACCATGCCTAACACACACCATACCTAACACACACCATGCCTAACACACAACCCCTAACTGCCTAACACACACCATACCTAACGCACACCATACCTAACACACACCATACCTAACACACACCATACTCAACACACACCATGCCTAACGCACACATACCTAACACACACCATGCCTAACGCACACCATACCTAACGCACACCATGCCTAACGCACACCATACCTAACGCACACCATACCTAACACACATCATACCTAACACACACCATAGCTAACGCACACATACCTAACACACACCATACCTAACGCACACCATACCTAACACACATCATACCTAACACACACCATAGCTAACACACACCATACCTAACACACACCATACCTAACACACACCATGCCTAACACACACCATGCCTAACACACCATGCCTAACACACACCATGCCTAACAGTATCCATAAAGTATCCATCTGTCGAATACCTGGTTAATCACACAATATCATGTCTTTTAATTTCTATTCATGACAAAAGTAAGGTTTTGTTTTTCATAAGAGGAACATTTTATTAGAGAATAATGTGTCACATTCCAATAACAAAGTTGTCTAACTAAGGTAATTTAAAAAAAATTATAATGTA